AAATAGTAACACCAACCATAAAATCTAAACAAATATGCTCAAATCACTACTGCAAATCATATCATACACTTCATTCGTATACTGAAAAATCACTATTACAGAGCTTAGTATTAGTTCAGATAAGAAATAAGGTTTTATCTATTCTCAAAAGCTTGTCTAAAATTTTTGACACAGTTGAAATTACTTCAACACTTTCAGGTACAGCATTTTATGACCAAAGAAAAGATTTTGAGGAACTTGTAAAAGTCCAGCATCGGGTTGATTTCAGAGAGCAAAAGATTTTTCATCAACTTAAAAGTATCATCATGGAAGTGTTGTCATATAGTTCAGTCATGAGCTGTTAATTACCTTAAAAGACAGAAGCACAATTTTCAAATCAATGGGAGCAGAAATTGTAAGCCAAAGAGAATTCAGACTTAGGTAAAGCTGTTGATTCCTATGGGTAAAAGCGATAATTCTTGTTCTTGCGTTTTGGACCAAATTGCAATTCCAGCAACACTGATGCTGGAAGGCTACAAACAAAGAATTATAGTAATCCAGTTTGGATGCAATAAGCATGAAAACCAGTTTCCAAATCTATGGGGGACTCAGCAGGATTTAATCCTTGCAACACTTCTTAGAGGATAAAACAAGCTATTTTAACCACATTTTAAATGTGTTTATCAAAGAAAATCCAAGCAAATTCCCAAATTTCTTGTAGATGTATAAAAGGGGTATCAAAGACCCTCCTAGAGAATTCAGTTGGGTTTTGGTTAGATAAGGTTTTACTGCTAAGTAATGTATAAAAGCCTCCCATTTGACTGGGATTTAGCTTCAGTCATCTGGAAGTCATCCAGCTTTAAACATCTGCAAAACAATTTTGCAAGTGAGAAACTGCCTGATTAGGATCAGATTGAGAGAAGATAGGTGAAATGGGCTATTATTCTCATAGCAATGGAGATGCAGATACCAGCAGCACTAAGCTTTCAATGAACTGAAAGAGCCTTTATACAGTAGCAAACAATAAATGGACAAATGCTGTGGTTTGCTTCTATTTGAGGTCCCAATCTTAACAGCCACTAATGTATGAGAGTAATTTACACATGTGAATAGTCATATTGAGCTCTGATTACTCATGTGTAATGTTACTCAAAGGTGTAAGTGTTGCAGGATCAGGACCTAACAGGACAAGGACTAAAAGATAATTTAATGTAAAACAAAAGTCACTAAGGTATGTGTGTGTGTGTTTTACTTATTAAAACAGCAGCAGATATCAATAAAAACAAGCCTCTACACAACTAATTGCATGTGCTTTTCAGACGAAGTTCAGCTACAGTACAGGGTTTGTTTTCCGCTCAGCAAAACAGTTGGAAAAAAGTTGTTCCAGTATTAAATTGTCTTAGAGAAAAATGTTAGATTTTTTTTGGCTCAGTTTGTAAAGTGTTCATCAGCTCAACAAAATGCCACATTTCAAAGTATGCCTCTCCCTGAGCAACCTTCCAATCTTGTAAAGACACCATGCAGATTAAATTCAGGGCACTCACACTGGCTATTCTCAGTACTCAAATCATGGTAAGTCTAGCAACTGACCTGAATCTAGAGGATGTCACCTTCAAATTCACTCTGCCACCCACTCAGCTATTAAATTGGCTTCCTTTAGGGGATAAGAGAGGCCCATGATTTGGTCCCTATCTGAGATAACCAAGAGTGTGACCATGTGAAATAGAATGGAGAAATGTTCAAGCTGCCTAATGATATTGGCCAGTTTTTTTTTAAAAAAAAACCCTGGATGCCTGAAGTTAAGCTTCTAAAGCCCTAGTTAGCCATTTAAATACGTGGCCCGATTTTTCAAAAGTGCTGAGCACCTAGCAGCTCCCATTGAGGTCACTGGACATTATGTATTATGTAGTGTGCTGTGTAGCATAGGTTTAAAGCACGAGTATATTCTGTGTGTGGCCAAAGAGAGAAAAGTCCCCAAGTGATATGCAGGGGGTAATTATTCCAGTTTGAGTGTACTTGGTTTCAGATGCATTCTAATAAACTATCAACTTGTTCTCTCTCGCTAGACCTAAAAAAGATAGACTATTCTAAATAATATCAAAATAACAAGCTTAAGCTGTTTTGCGAGCTTGCATTTTGTCAGTCACGCTCAGGAATGCAAGGAACACACTAATCCACTGAAAACAGACATAATTCTTTGTATGTTCTTGAGGCAAACAGCATCTTCCGCTCTGTTTAATTCACCCTGGATTGCTCTTCCTTTCCTTATTTCATATGTATTTTATTCTAATAGGAAAACACCAACCTGATATTGGCAAAGTACCGGGGAAAGCTGAGAGCAAGGATTTGATCAGTAATTTCTTTACACTTCATGCATATCTGGCATGGGATTTTAAGCATATTAAGATCCAAAATTACCTCTAAAACTGTTTTTTTAAATTACAGAGAGCATAACAAAAGGTGTAGAGGAGGCTAGTTGGCACAATTGTGTAAAGAGGGATATTAGCGAAACTTGCAGTGGTTTGTCCTCGTCCCCCGCCCCAATTTCAGGTTTTTGCAAATGTCACCAAAAGAACATCTTTGCAAACCCAAATTGATTTTTTTTTGCACACTTAATGTAAGGAGGATTTGCAACATGTGCCTCATAGTGGAGATGAGAATGGGGAATTTTGCCTTTGGTCACTTAAAATTTTTAATCAATTTTCACAGCATTTTATACAAAGGTTTTCTATGAAAATGTGCTTAATTCTGATTCTCAGTTATGCTCTAACCTCTTTACACCACTCTGGCAGTGTAAATTGTTTACTTACTTGAAGTCTCTTGTATACTGCCAGGCTGGTACAAAGTAGTCTCAATGTAAATGACAATAAGCCCCAGAAGTTTAATTACATTTCAGTGGCTACTTTATTTGGAGGCAGATTGGTGTTTATTTTTTGATTGTCTAATAGAAGTGTTAAACTATTGGGAGGGATGTTTGTGATGATTCATTTGAAAAATCTCTGGACCTTGGTGGATGGGACAGTTGCAAGAAATTTTTGTAAGCAAAGTAAATACTTTGTGGTACTTTATACCCCTAAAATTCTTTCTTAAATCTTTTATATTGCCCCAGGGTATAAATCAGTATAGGGCAAAAGTGAAAAAATGTTGCACATTTCTGTGCAATGATACCATGCCAATGTGACATGTTGAATTTATAGTATGATGTGAGTAATATAATGGAACTTAGATATATCTTAATCTAAATACTGCTTAAACCCCAAAGCCTTTTTTACACATTGTTCACAGGCAAACTCAAAATTATAGAAATCTATCCTGGTCTTTTATGTGATATAGAGTGTTTTTAGATTAATTCATTGGTAATAAGATAAATATAATAAGGGGAAAAAAGCTATCTTATTTATACATCAAATAATTATTTTCCTCGTACATTTTATTTGTAGCACTTATAGAACATTGTTCAGATTGTTGCCAAGAATGAGGTTGCTTAAAGCCTGCCGTTTGTAACTGAAATTTTCATGTAAGTCTGCTTCTGATTGCTGGTAAGGTTTGTGCTTGAAAAACAAACACTGTAGTTAGAAATGGTGGTAAACAGAGTTGTATTAAATTTAATTTGAGTTTTGAAAATATTTACATAATGACATTATAATTCTGTTAAAAAAACAGGTGATGGTAACCAAGGCTATGGTGCCTAGTCTTTTTACAATAGGAGTCAATTGCAATACTTCTGTTGAACTCAATAGGAGCAGGATCCTATTATACAAATCCATTTTAAATGTGCATAACAATCCTGTTCATGATTTAACTTTGACTGTCTTAGGTAAAATATATTACATAGTCTCCACTAGTGCCAGGCAGATAAGGGGAATCTTTCAGTCTATCAGTTAATTTGAAGTAAAGAGGACAATAGCTTGGACTGGATTTCTATTCATCTTAATTGGACTGTGGTCACACTCCTAATGGAAAAGTATGTTTTAGCATAAAACACTTCTTTCTTTCTCTTTCTTAAACAATACTTTGATATAGATCTTAGGATAATGCAAGTTTGCTGGAGAGACTAAGAAGGTGGAATGATCTATAAGAGATTGAAAAGTTCTCCTGAAATAGATCAAAAGGACAATTGTGGGTAAAGAAAAAGAAAGCTGGTGAAAGCTTAATTGGATGAACATTTAAAAAATATTCTTATTATCATGTGTGATTCCCTGCATACTAGTGCATATGGCAAGGGGGGAGTACTTTACATCTTCATAAAGTGACATTACGAGTGTGTGTATGTGTATGTATGTATGTGCCAGAGGCATTTGGGGCTTTCACTCTCCTCTTCACTGTGATCTCCATTTTTTCATCCCAGTTATGTACATCTTTTCTTCTTTGAGTCCTCTCCGTGTACTCCACAAGAATGATGTAACCAGTCTGCACTGCCACCAAGGCACAGCAATTTCCTGGGCCAGTAGTGCAGGATCCTTGTGGTGATGTATGGAGAAAGAAGTGGAGACAGATGGAGAATTGAGTCAGGCAGAGTAGCAGGTGGAAGCACAGCACACAACTGATTGCTGTTGATCAGCAGACTGCTAATTAGTGATGCATTTCCACACTGTAGAGGCAGATTATGGACTTGGGAATGAGAAGGAAACAAAAATCTTGTATGGTATGGAGGGATGTCTTTGTCGGGGTGAGGCATTGGAAGATACAGTCTGAGGGGCAAACATTTGGTAGATCCGGATCTAAATGTAATCTAATCCACACAAGCACCAGAAGGGCATATGAAAGTTGACTTATCCTCCTGGCTCTGAGCCACTCGATAATTGCAAGTATTGGTCTGAAAGTGTTTAGAACATAATTCTTCAGAGGAAAGAGAGCTATGCTTTAAGCTCTTGAGCAATACAAAATTAACATTCACAAGCTTTGTTTTTGGTGAATAAATTGGCATAATTAGTATTGTATGTGAAGAAATAAAGCAGAATAACCTTAACCCCCAGAAAAATATCTTTTCAAATGTTTTCTGTTTTAACCTATGCACTCAGGAAGCTCTGTTAACAAGCTCAGCAAGGAGCCACTGAGAATCATACATCAGACCATGGAAGAATCCACTGATTGGCTTTATGGTTTTATTTCTTTACTGTCTGACATCGTATCAACTGATGATGATGACAGTGATGAAGGTATTTGCGATATACAGACTTGTGTAACTGCGCTAACTCATGTTTTACATGCATTATGTTGACTTACTTAATTTTTAACCTCACTGTCAAAGAAGTCAGGGAAAGCGAATAGAAGTGAACACCTTCGCTAATAATGAATCAGCTGGCACTAGCGTTAGAAAACTGATGTCTTTGTTAGCTTTCATCTTCCATTTCATAGGCAATTACAGAAAATATGTCAGAATTAAATGTTACTAGTGGTGTTTCCAAGTAAAGAGGGCTAATTTAGGCTGAGTTGATGTTTCAGAGAATGGCAGCAGCTATTCTACATTGTTTCTCTCTACCGTATAAGAATGGAAGGGTCTAGAAAATGAAAGAATTAAATGTACAGTCAAAACTTGAAAAATCTAAGACAACATTTTTATTTGATATTTGAACAGTAGGGGGTAGTATTGGTGGAAAAACACTGTAACTGGACTGAAGGGAAGTTTGGATAACAAACATCAATAATTTAACAGTGTGGCCTTGGAACTGCTATTAATATGCATCATCTCATGGAGCTGTCAGATACGTTAAACCAAACAGCCAACAGTTAATCTATTTTTATAGTTTTTGAAAGAACCATCTTTTTATTAATAGATAATCAGTTCAGTAGCATGTGGTGGGTAATAGATGCACAAGTACTACATGTTATGTTTATCGTCCTGTACGCGTATATGCAGTTAGGCATGAGGATCATAGCAGTGTCATACCATATTCCTATTGCTTTGTGTAGCATTCCATCATAACAAAAATGATTAAAACCCAACAGGAACTTAAACTGAATCTTTCACCTACTGTATTCATAAACTAGAAGTATCACCTAACTTCTGCCACTGCAAGATGTCTGCATGGGCTTTCATATTAATTTTGTGTACTAATACTAACAGATATGCTATTATATGTAGCTTTATGACTTGGGGACCCTATTCTAAGATGTGATTTACAACCACCGTAAGGCCAGTTCTTGGTGTTGTTTAGAAATAAAAAGGGTGCAATGTGGTTTCCTTGTCTAAATTTTTGAAATTATGCTGGTGGTCAAAAACCATGCAATGAGGAACATTTTTGAGTACAAGAATGGATGGAGGCAGAGTGGACAAACCTACATGAGGGTTTGAAAGGATCATAAAATGAGCTAGCCTATACCAATTCCTATATAGAAAATTAAATCATTTAAATTGCAAGGTTCTGAATGCCTCCTGGGAGGTCCTCAGCAACCCCAACTGCATTGACTGTACTCAGAGTGGAGAACAGTCAGCACCGCCCAAGAATCACAGGAGGGACTCAGCATCTCACAGTATTAGGCCCTAAGAGTCTACTGTATGGGTCCACTTCTTTGTAATGCTTAAAGCCATGTCAGAAGTGGAGGCACAGCATCAGATTTTGGCAACTGACTGTTCCTGCTCCCACTGAAGTCAATGGGACTTTTGCCATTGACATCATTGAAAGCATTATTAGGTTTCTTTTGTTCTGAACATTGCAAGAAATGTCATTTGGAATGCTTTCTTTCTAGCCAATGAAAATGGAATCCCTGTGCCCATTTTTAAAATATAGATTCAGGTTTATAACTAAACAAATTCCACTCACATGCCAGTATCTGGTCACATATTTAACTATAAGTTCTAGAACTTTTTTTGGTGCCTACAATACATTTAACGTATCTGTCCTTCCTCTTAGAAAGCCTACATGGAAGCAGAAGTGTGGGTGTAAGTCTAAAATCTCAGAATAGAGTTCTTGTTACTCAACATGTTCGGCATAAAGTTTGAATGCATTTAAAAATGAAAATAAACTAGCATGGAAAAAAATAGTGGCATTGCTACCAGTTATCTGATTGTTGTGTTTTTTCCATCTTGGTTTAGGTGAAGTGGAACCTCCGTTGAAAAAAAAAGGTTGGTTTTCATTGTTATAAATAACACATGCTTTGATGTATTAAATGTTTTTAGATACTTTTGTTATTAAATTATTAAATTAGTAAGAACCTACTGTCTCTATGCCACTGGTTCTGTCACTAATTGCTTTTGTTATTCTACTAACTGTGTATGCTGTATGTAAATTGAAATTGTTAGGAATGTCAAATTATAATAAGCTTTGAAGTGTTGTTTGTTGCTGCGCAGTGTGTTTAGGAGAAGTCTTAATTGTTTCATTATGCTGTGCATCTAAAAATTATCATAAAAAACCAACAGCACTACTACAGTATTATTTTATATGTATTATCTACCTATTGACTTATATTAATGTCAATTTGTGTTAAATACGTGCCTGGAAAGAACAGACACCTGTCAGGAAGCAGCTGTGGAATATAAAAGTATTCACCTCTTGCCCAGGTTTATAGTAAAAGCTTAAAGTAAGGACTATCTGTATTCTTCTGAAAATAACTTACATAGTTACCATTGGATTTTTATAGAAAACAAAGATTAAGCAAGTAGAATTGTGATACAAATCTTTCTAAATATTGCCATGCAGAAACACAAAACTTAAGTTCAGCTTCTGTTAACTCAAAAGGAAAATGTACTGGAAGACCCAGGATATTGTTAATAGGATATAGAGTCCCTCATTTCTAGTTTACTGTTCAAACTGAGCACAGATTGGTAATAATAACAAAAGTCATTACCACCTGTTGACGTTTCAGTGATCTACATGATAAGAGTTTAACATCTATCAAATTTCCAATAGATAAATGTCCATATCACAGAAACTATCACTGCCACATTAAGGGCGCAATCCAGCTTTCTTTGAATTACCCCGAGTTGTATTAAGCTCTTAATAGCACCTTTTTTGGCAGTTTCAGCAGAAAGGTCAAGAACTGAATGGGCATGGAGAACAGTACCGTCTACTCTTCCTTATGAGTGATCCCTTCATGTCAAAATTGTGGCAAACTGGTAGACAGTGTGGGAAAACTTGCTCTCCTGTTATCTATGATTTATAGGTGGGATGTTTCAGCATTGGACTAACTCAGTTCCCATTGAAACCAGTGGGAAGTATTCCATTGATTTCAGTTGAAGCAGTTAGGCCACTGACGCACAACACTACTTATCCTTCAACTGATATGACTATAGCACTACTGCCGTCGCCTTTGATGAAGAACAGCTAATTGAAGCTGAACCCCAGCAAGACAGAGGTAATGCTGGTGGGTGCAGAAAAGCATTGTGAAGCATTTGCACCCCATCATGCAGTCTGCTTTGGCTGAAGGGGACATATTCACAATTAGTTAATTCAGTCCATAGTTTAGGAGTGCTCCTGAATTGCTCACTGACACTATCAGGGGGTAGCCATGTTAGTCTGTATCTACAAAAACAACAAGGAGTCTGGTGGCACCTTAAAGACTAACAGATTTATTTGGGCCTAAGCTTTCGTGTGTAAAAACCATCTGAAGAAGTGAGGTTTTTACCCACGAAAGCTTAGGCCCAAATAAATCTGTTAGTCTTTAAGGTGCCACCAGACTCCTTGTTGTTTTCACTGACACTAAGCTTTCAGCTAGCAGCATCCACAAACAATATTTTCTACCATCTCCAGCTGGCTAGGAGACTTTGTCCCAGGTGGATGTTGACCTGGCCTTCCTTACGTACCCCTTTGTCACTTCCCGTGTGGACTACAGCAATATAATATACCTGGCCCAAAGCCACAAGCCCTTAAACTCCAACCAGTGCAGAATGCTGCAGCACATCTCCTCAGCAACATAGTCTACTAACAGTACATTGTACCTGTCTCTGGTGTCTACACTGCCTTCTCATGTAATATGGAGTCAAGTTAAAGGTTTTGATCCTTATCTTCAAGTTGCTCAATTACCTGGGCCCAGCATTTCTGAAAGATTTGCTGGAAAGCTCTGGGATGAAGACAATGGCAGACAACTCTGCTCCTTGGGCATAATAGAACTTTTTATCATAGCTATAAAGCTCATCTGAACAGGAGACAAAACATTCTTGGGGGCTGGTCCGAGACTATGGAATGAACTCCCCCAGGAACTAAGGACCATCAGAAACCTACTTGCCATCTGCTGCAAGTGCAAGATGCGCTTCTTTGACCTGCTTTCTCTAACATAAACACATAATAGCATGTACAAAATCCCCAAACTCTACCAAAACAAAACACTGCCCAGCACACACATGTCCCCCCTCAGTCTTCTCTTCTCCAGACTAAACAAACCCAATTTTTTCAATCTTTCCTCATAGGTCCTGTTTTTCTAAACCTTTAATCATTTTTGTTGCTCTCCTCTGGACTCTCTCCAATTTGTCCACATCTTTTCTGACACAATACTCCAGCTGAAGCCTTATCGGCATGGAGTAGAGTGGAAGAATTACTTCTCATGACTTGCTTACACCACTCCTGCTGATACATCCCAGAATGATGTTTGCTTTTTTTTGCAACAGTGTTACACTTACAAATTTGTGATCCACTATAATCCAGATCCCTTTCCGGAGTACTCCTTCCTACTTATGTCCCATTTTGTATGTGTGCAATTTATTGTTCCTTCCTAAGTGAAGTACTTTGCATTTGTCGTTATTGAATTTCATCTTATTTAGTTCAGACCATTTTTCCAGTTTCTCCAGATCCTTTTGAATTTTAAATCTATTCTGCAAAGCACTTGCAGCTCCTCTCAGCTTGGTATCATCCACAAACTTTATAAGTGTACTCTCTATGCCATTATCTAAATCATTTATGAAGATATTAAACAGAACCAGATCCAGAACCAAACCCTATGGGAACCCACTCGATATGCCCTTCCAGCTTGACCGTGAATCACTGATGACTACTCTCTGGGAACCATTTTCCAACCAGTTATGCTCCCTTCTTATAGTAACTCCATCTAGGTTATATTTCCCTAGTTTGTTTATGGAAAGGTCATGCGAGACTGTATCAAAAGCCTTACTAAAGTCAAGACATACCACATATACCACTTCCCCACATCCGCAAAGCTTGTTACCCTGTCAAAGAAAGCTATTAGGGTCATTTGACATGATTTGTTCTTGACAAATCCATGTTCACTTTTACTTATCACAATTATCTTCTAGGTGTTTGCAAATTCTTGCTTGATTATTTGCTCCATTATCTTTCTGGGTACTGAAGTTAAGCTGACTGATCTGTAATTCCAGAGGTTGTCCTTATTACCCTTTTTAATAGATTGGAACTATGTTTGCCCTCTTCCACTCCTTTGGAATCTCTCCTGTCTTCCATGAGTTTTCAAAGATACTCTCTAACGGCTCACATATCTCCTCAGTGAGCTCCTTGAATATTCTTCAGTTCTCAGGTCTATCAACCAGAGCATATTTTCTGTGCACTAACAGTCTGCACAAAATTCTCACTTTCTTGGAAGTACCATAATTGCAAACACACTAAAAGTTAGTTGATAGCACAGTAAAGTTATTTACTGAGAAAATGTTCAAGGGAATAGTAAGGACATCACAGTAATGATAAGGAAAGAAGAAGAAAGGAAGAATAATAATGATAATTATGAGCCTGAAGAAAGCAAAGATAACCTTGACACAGATGCAAATTGCAGGCAAAGATAATAGGGATACAAATAATGACAATGAAGGTGGTACATGTAACAGGGCTAATATTGGTGTCAGTAGCCTCTAGAAAGGATGAAAATGCTTATCATAGTACATTCTTTACCAAAATTAATTTCTTCATCCCCAGCATTATCACTGATATTTATATTTAGTCACTGGAAAAGACTGAACATTTTATATTGTGCAGAAAAAATAAATTATAACTATCAGGGGACATGGTGAAAAAGTATTCTGTAAAGAGCTTTGCAATGTTTAACAATGTGTACTCAGTGCATGCTAAAATTGCTCAGCGTTTCCATGAAAACTATTCAAAAATCTAATAATGGTTTCTAACAGACTTAATATGTTTTAGCTTTCATTTTTCTAAATCAGTGGTTAGAATTGATAATGTTGATTTATGTTTCAGGGTTAGTAAAACATTTATGGACAAATCAATTTGACAACTGTATGTTTAGTTTTTTGTATGCTTCTTTTATGAAAATTTCTTGTTATAATAGGAGAGTTTTATTCATCACCTCTTATATGCTTTTGCCTCTGCAGTCTAAGCCCAATGTCTGTTTCTATGCGGATATTTATTGATGGAAGCAAAATGAGACTGATAATCTTTTTGAATCTTTGGGATGGGGGAGAAAACGTCCCAAAAATTAGAAGTAACATTTTATTAGAAATGACTCCAAATTAAAAGCGCAGAAGTTTTAGCGCCAGGCCTATGGCAGTAGTCAAAACTTACTACTAGCAATGTTATTACTCTACAGCATTTTGGAACTGTAATAGAACAATAGTTTACATAAGGCTAATTTAAAGTTAATTTTCTAATATATAGATTAGTGATATTATGTACAAATTAATATTTGTACATATGGAAGTTATTCTCAATCTTTTGAATTTAGGATATGACCAAAGGCCATTGAAATCAATAGGTCTTAGATCAGGGTTTATTTTATATTTCACAGTTCAGGCTTGTTCAAACTTTGTTTTTTAACTTAACATTCTTCCTTTGTTTTAGTTGAAATTCATCCTGTGACCAAAAAAAAAGGTGAGTGAATTTTAAAGCAATCTTAATTTAATCAAAAAGAAGGAGCTTAATAATAAATTAAGTTAGAAATAACTATGCAAGTAAAGCATTGACATGGCAGTAGATGCTGGACACTGGCTGAATATTATTTAGTAGACTTTTATTGGTGTAACAGATGTTGATATACATAAAAACAGAAGAAACTTGAGATTTCTGAAACACACAGAAGCACTCAGGCATACCGTGGTGATGGAGGCTACATATATACCTAGGCAGATACATGAATGCAAGGGCCTGATCCTATTGTTTTTATGCAGACACAAACATTAACTCTGTCTTTTTAAAATTAAATCACATACCACCTATACATTACAAAATAGAAATTTTAGATATCAAATAGAGGAAAATGGCAGTACCTTTCTGTTTCATATTAGTCTTCGGGATGTGATAATCATGTGATTTCCCAGTTAGTAGAACCACAAATTCTAGGCAGTGATTTATCTGGAGAAGAAGAAAAGATATTGTATAGGGATTTCCACCCTCCCTGTTTCCCAGACGTGTTGCTTTTTCACAGTAGTGAAGCAAGAAACATCAGAACTTTCTACTGCAAATTGGGAGAAACTAGCCTAATTATACAGATAAATAAAGCTCCTTGACAAGCTTCCAGCTTAGTCGGAATTCTCCAAATTCAAATGAGTTAATGAAATAATATGCTTTTTTGGGGGGTGGGACAGAAGTACTAAAGGAGACTAAAAACATACTAGAGAACTCTCCTAGTAATGATGTGCTATATGGGTACAGTCTGCCTGCCCACACACTATGAATTGCAAGATCAGGGCCAAAAGTTCAATGTATAAATACCAGTAGGTGAGTGAAACCATTATGTCATTAGATTGTTGTGACCAGTTAGTTTTCATATCAAGATTTGAAAGCAGACATTTTGCATATTTCAATTTTCCCCCCAAAATTTTCACATAGCTATAACTGATAGTTAATCATGCTCTTTTGTCTTTCCCTCTTCTAAGAGCTTATCAACGTAAAAAAAAAAAAAAGATTTGCTGCTTTAACTATAATGCTTAAAGTGGCAATCCCCTCCCGCATTGTAGACTCATTTATATGCAATCAGTATATATCAATATAGCTTATTCCTGTTCAGGAAGCAAAACAATGTAGACCACTATAAGGTACCTTTATGCCAATATAAGTTCATCCAAATCAGAGTTTATATTGGTAAAAATTCACACTGCTAACCAACTTACTTATCATGGTATAACTTTTCTAGTATAGACTTTTGAGATTAGGACCCTACGCTCTTAAGTCATATAGTCACTTTTTAAAATGTTATCCAATAGCTCATCTTGAAGAATATTGAGGATGGGCAAGACTCCTTTGGATGATATTCATGTTTCATAAATATTTAGACCAGAAAATAAAAATATTTCTAAACCCAAATTTCTTCCTTCAAGCTGGAAATAGGCTGGGAAAGCAAATATTTGAGTAGCATGAATGCAACCTGAAAAGCATGGCCCCTTATTGAATTTGCCTATATGGCTGATGTTTGTGATTTGGGAAATTAATTATTCTATGCACTCATCCCTAGAGTATATACTTATTTGCATCTTTAGTGTTTTCAGAGATCAGCTGACTTTTCTTTTATAGCTCCATATGGCAATATTCCTTTTTTCTGCATAAGAGTTCTTGTTTCCCAGCTCTGTAAAGTGTTCTCTATTTCTCTTTAAGCTTCTTCTCACTATAAAGTGTTTTGTGAATTTTTGTGTAAGGAGCAATGTGTTTAAAAAATATCTTCAGAACTGAGAGAATGCCAAAAACACACACAAAACTACTTCCCCAGATAGTTTTTATTTGATTTTTGTTACCATCAATTTCTATTATTAATGTTCTCTTGACAATCCCATCTTGCTTTTTATACTGATCAAAACAGCAATAGCATATCCACTATAAGGGGAACACTTTAGAATATGAAGAAAATATTTTTCAGATTATGTAAAGAAAACACAACTACCTACCCTTAGGCAAGAGTGAATTTTCAATTCCAGGGTTTTCTTTTCTTTCTTTTTTGTTTTTTTCTTTTTTGTTTTTGTTGCTGTGGGAAGAGAGGTTTTTAATTTGGGTTGATGTCACAGGGCATTCCAATCCAAAATGTACTGCTTTCTTGTGAAAGATGCAAAAAAAGAGTTCCTGACTCCATGTGTCATTAAAGATCCTTTGGATAGAAGTGTAGTAGCACTTGGGGTTTCAGAGAGTTTAGCTTCGCTCCAGCGTAGGGTGTATGACGCTACTGAGCTCTTTTAATTTGTGCTCCTGCTATAGTAGAAGCTTGTTGCTGTTAAAGAGGGAAGAGAAGGATGTGAGTCTGATCTCTTTTCTGGTTGGGGGTCCATTGTGCCACAGCTGGAATGAAGACAGCCTGAAAATCAGACTTGGTGGGTGAGAGTTAAGAGAAGACATGAAGAAATGTCTTACTTTCCATAAAAATAACAGGTGCCAGAAGGGATTACTCAATTCAGAGACAATGTGTGAAATGCTGCCTTCCCTTAGATGAAAAATTGCCCTGTATATTAGAGCTGATCAAAAGAGTTTTTTTCCTGTTGAAAAATCAAAAATTGAAATATTTTGGCCAAAAAACAAAATAGCTTTGGAAATGCTACGGTGGTGCCTCAAGCTGCATCCCCTCTCTAGGCCAGGCTCCCTAGTTGGCCTACATATCCAATGATGCACCACGGTCTCACTTCTTGATGCGGGGAGGCGGTGCATCATGATGAACCACAATTTCCATGAGACACCGGAGCGGTATAGCTGAATCTAATATTTTCCATGGAAAGTAGACACTTTGAAAAATTGTATATAATCAAAACCCATATGTTTCATGGAAACCGTTTACAGTGGAACATTTTTGACTGACCTACTATATATATATTAAAATGCCCAGGCACATTGTTACCATGGTAAAAGATCAATGCCAATGTTCTATGACTTAATAATAAAATTCTCCTTTAATGAATAAAAACAGCAAATGTATTGCTTTATTGCCCCATCTCTTCTTGAGACCCAAGAACAAAAGCATTTTATTTTGTAGCAGAAAGAATATGATTTGAGTCATGGCAGATGGAAAAAGGCATATATTTCATTGATCCCAAAGTAGTAGCATATAAACAGAGATCGTTATATAAAATTTAGCTTTAGTTTCTGTGTAGGTGAGCAGGAGGTTGTGGGGGAATGGGGATACATTATGCTTCTCTCTCCAGAAGCTGGACAATTTGGCTATTATCAAAATATCACCCCATGATCAAAACATTTATGGGGTTGGTGATGGGGATGCTGCTGGTCAGTCTATGCTAATGTTTTTACCATTCATAGCTTGGATGGAGCTCCACCAATGCTAAGAGATTACTTAAAATTTATGGGGTCAGATCCTAATCCATGCTTAATTTGTTTTGCACTGTTTCTGCAGCACAAAGCAGGCCTAATTCTGGTTTCAGTGGCCATCTGAAGAATCGCTTAAGGTGTAGAATAGCACAAAGCCTCTCTGTCTGGCCCTACACCATTCAGTGGAGGGGACTATATCAAGGAAAGGAGGCATAGCTCGATCACTACTGCATTCTGGCTATCTCCAGCTGCCATAAAAGCCCTCCAGGAGTTATTGTCTTTGGCCATAAATTAGAGCATGTGTGAGGCAACTTCAACTTAATCCTGGCAGCTCCAAGGATCAGGGGAGCATAGAAGATATAGCTTCTTTTAAAGTCTACACCATCAACTCTTTGGCCAGTTCCAAAGGCTAGGCCCATAAGGTAGATGCAACCCCAGAGTTAATTCTCACAGTCAGAAATATTTGCCATTTATTTGTTCGTATTGTGGCTGCTATAAAAACTGCATAGACTGTGGCTCCATGAAATGTTAACATTTTGTTGGGAATGGGTCTTTTGTACAGATTCCTTTCCCACTACCCCTCCCACCCCAATTAAAATAGCTATCATCTTAACCACCTCTTCCATCTACAGTAGAGCTAGACCACAGCTGTACAGTTTCAAATGTCTGCTAAGGAGACTAACAAGGGGAGAATTGACTAAAATTCTCTATAAAGACAACGTCTAAGAGCAAGTTAAAAATGAGCCCTCTGAAGCTCCTAACCCAGCTTATTCCAGCTCTCACTTTGTGGTTTGTTTACACCCCCACCAACTTTCCAGGATAATCATGCACCTGTTGCTAGGTAGGCTGTATAAACCAGCAGGGATATAGTCCAGCTTAGTTGTGGGCAGCAGCTATAGGGCTTCCAGCCACTGGAGGCAGAGTTATTCACCCTAATCTTGGCAGGCCTTTTGGGTCGGGTCCATTCCCTTTTACACATATGACATTTTTGAGAAAGGGAAGGTTTTAAACACTCAAAGGTCCAGATCCACAAAGATGTTTAGGTTCCTAACTTCCATTGATTTCGATGGAAGTTAGGAGCCTAAACACCTTTGTAATTCTGGGCCAAAATGTTTAGCCTCACTGCCTGTCGAAGTCATGTTTGTTTTATATAGCAAAAGGGGGGAGGCAGAAGGAGGGAGGGAGGGAGGGAGGGAGGAAGAGTGAAGAACAAACACAGCCTGAAACTAGGATCAGTTGGTATCGTTTACTCAGCAAAAGATACATAAAAATATAACCCCTTCAAATCAATCCAATCACAACTGATGAAATTTAAAACAATTGTTGATATTAAAACCCCAATTCACCCTCAGAGTGACTGGCTAATACTAAAGCAGAGAGATGGTGATTAAGGGACCAGACTAGGCTTCAGAGGATCAGGGTTCAGTCACCAGCTCTGATGTTAGTTTCCTGTGTGACCACAGGTAAGTCATTTAATCATAAAGCTCCCTATTTAGGAAATGGGAACAATAATATTTCCTTTCTACCATATTCTTCTTCTTTGTTTTTGTTTTTTTGGTTTACATTGTAAACTCTTTGGAGAAGGGACAGTCTCTCACTATGTGCATGTACAGTGCCTAACACGGTGTCCTCAG